CCTCTCCCGCCCCCCAGAGGGACCTGGCAGGAAAATAGAGTCCGCGCCTGCTGGTTCCCCCCCACCTCACAAAAAGAAAAGCAAAGAAAGCGGTGGAGGGGCGTCTTCTGGCGGATCGGTGGCAAAAGTGACGTGGAGCCCCCCACCCCAACAGCCCGGAGGTCGGCGACCCTTCGGGGGTGCGGGGCGGGGAGCCCTTACCTCCGCACGGCCGCCCCGCGACCCAGCACACCGCCACTTCCTAGCATCGCGGTCCGCCGTGCCTGCTTTGTGCTGGCGAACCCCGGCACTGCCGTGGAAATGATTTTCCGGGCTCCAAACGTTTGCACGGGGACTGGGCTTCCCTTCGGGGCCGGCGGGGCGGGCGCCAACTAAGTTAACAAAGTTGCAAATGGGGCCGTCGCCTTTGTGCGGGGAGGACGGCACCGGAACTGTCCAATATCCCGTGGCGTTGGCGTCCTGGCTCAGAGATGCATCACAGTAGTAGGCAGAAGTAATTTGGTACAAATTCGGCATTACCTTTCAGATCAGAGGACCGGTTTCTTTCGAGCAAAGCCGTGTGTGTGTGTGTGTGTGTGTGTGTGTGTGTGTGTGTGTGTGTGTGTGTTCTTGGTGGGGAGGTGAGAGACATAACCGTTTAACATACTCATTCTTTAAGAAACGTTTGCCTTCTGTTTTCAATCAACTAAGCTGGCAGCTAGAGATACAAGTTTATTTGAGAATACCCTCTGGGTACCAAGCATGCTTGGATTGTTTTAGCAAATTAAAAATGAGCAAAATGCTTTTACCTTCTCAGCAGTAGACTCCTTAAGAGACCTCGTGTGTGTGTGTGTGTGTGTGTGTGTGTGTGTCTGTGTGTCTGTGTGTGTCTGTGTGTGTTAGTGGAACATATTTCGGTGTGTATCTCAAATGCGTTTTTAATGTGAAAAGGGGGGGAATAAAGGATTTTAAAAGGCTGAGACTGATGCCATCGAATGATTCATTAAATTTGATTCTCCATCTAGGAAATGTACCTGCCTATTTGGGAGCCAGTGGGCACTTAGAGGGAAGCCGCTTGGTGGATTTAAAATAGTGGTGGAACCATTTGTTTCCTGGAGAATGGGCAGTCTGCCCACAACTTCCTCGTGTTGGTATCCGTGTGGCATTTGGCTTGGTGGAAAGGACTGGGGTTCCGGAGGCTGCGTGCTGACACTTGGCTCTGGACTCCTCCGGCTGCTCTCCTAGAGAATGGCTAGCGATGGTTGTGATCGCAGGAGGTTAGCTGGCTGTCTGCTAATTAGGTGGCAAAGGTGACCACAGAGTCTTAAAACTTTGTGTCTGGGTGAAAACTTCATTGGGTTAGGGAATGTGTTTATGAAAAAGAAAATGATTAATTGGGCAAAAACCTCATACGTTTGTTTGCCGGGAAGAAGCTTTGAAATGAATCGAGGGTGAATGATAGTTGGCAAAAAACCTCCCACCATAGGATTCAAAATGACTGCAGTGATTTTGCTGTATTAATTCTGCCTGAGGCACAGTATAAAGTTCTCAAACACACACTAGAGGTCTCTCTTCCAGCTATAAGATTTCCACATTTCTAATGTCTCGCATGTGCTTGAGGAGTCGGGGTGTGCGTGAATAGCTTGGTTGATACTTATTTCAGTAATCGTGATGTACTGACCGTTGAGATTACTCAGCTGTGAGCTATTTGTTTGAGGGCGCTCAGTAATTATTGCACAAATTATGCTACCTAAGTGCTCGCAAAGTAACTGCAGTAAGACTTCGGCTGGATGATGATGAAAACGTATTATTCCGTCTGCCGGCTGGCATCATAAGCCTTTTGGCATACACTTATTTACCCAAAGCCCTTTGTTTTCGTGTGTCGGAATAATGACTGAAGATGCACTGTATCTGTCGGAGAGAACTTTCTGAAAATGGAAACTTCTGCCACCTCCTCGTGAGCTGGCTTGCCTTGGCAGTTCTCAAATCAGAAGGATTGCTCTCTGCTTCTGAAATGGGCTGTGTGAGCCGAAGCTTTTCCTATTTGCGTCTTCTTTTGGGTTTTCATTCAAAGGATGCCTGTTGGTGACTTTTCAGTTGGCCAAGGCATTTTTTTCAGTTGAATCTTAAACCGCATACCGAACCCCTTTTGGTGGGGGGGGCGGAAGGTGGGGGGAGCCTACAATTTATGATTTTCTAAAGGCATAGAACACTGATCTCCTCTGCCTCCAAGATGAACTTAGCCTTCTGGGGATAAATATGAACATTTGGATGCAAGCATACAGGCTTATGTGAATCGCCTGCTCATGCAAAAGTAAGAAACCACCCCGTTTTCCTAGGTCGGTACGAGCACGCTTCTCATTTCACTCATAAAACCATACTAGATGTAAATAATGCTTAGCTTGCTGATGTGTTTGGTTTGAAATACCGGAGCAGAAAGGAAAACTGAGAGATCACCCCTGAACAATAACAAGCCTCTATTTATTAAGTTCATCCATCCATTCATCAAACACTGAGTGCCTGCTGGGTGCAAGACCCTGTGTGCTTCACGCTGGACACATGGTGGTGAGGACCAAAAGCATTCAGAGTCAGAATCTCCCAGTGTGTGTGATCCAGACCGGGACACAGAGGTTAATCAAATAATTGGACAAGCGACAAACGGAGATGAGTGGCTGGAAGGGAAAAGAACATGGGGGGGTCTGGTAGCTTTAGCCAGAAAGGAGTGGACTGGACAGGAATCTGGTCAGAGTGCTTGACGAAGTGCTAGAAACAAGAGTGGAGCAGGTTCTCAGTGGGCATGAACAAGAGAAAGAAAGTTCCAGGCAGGGAGAAGAGGGAACCATATTTGCCAAGCCTGGAGTGGTCCAGCAAGAGGGAGGGACTGGAGGTTGACTGGCTGCAGCAGCGAGAGGGAAGAGGCAGGGATGGGTGAGCAGGCAGCAAGGCAGTGGGGCTTAAATCCAATGAGCTGTGAGAGGCATGGAAGGGAGGGCTGGGAGCTGGAAACCCTGACATCATCCAGTTTGTGTTTTGAGAGGGTAACACTGTCAGCACTGTGGGAAGTGGGTGACAGAGTCCACAGTCGATGCAGTGTTGCCCTTGCAGGGCTGTTACGTTTGTCTAGACAAAACAAGAGTAGATGGGTTAAGTGTAAGTTGGTTGGCGGTGAGGAACAGGGATGGAAGGAGTCAAGGTCCATTTGGCTGGTCATGCAGGAGAACATGGGGGCATTGGTTATGGGCAGACAAGGAGAGAGAGGTGTCAAACACATTAACCTAATGGCCTCTGGATTTGGATGACTGGGTAGGTTTTAGACCTTTCACATCATATCTAGTAGCCAGATTGGGTAGTAATACTACAGCATCCCCACATCTTATATCGAATTGACAGAAGTTTAGAAATGTACTGGTCATAAAAAAATGAATTGATCAAGGGCTCATGCTGGAGGGGGGAGCGGGGAGGGAGGGGAAAAATGAGGACCTAATGTCGGGGGTTTAAATGGAGAGAAAATGTTTTGAGAAACGATGTACAAATGTGCTTTACACAATTGATGAGTGTATGGATTGGGATAACTGTATGAGCCCCTAATAAAATGTTAAAAAAGAAAAAAAAAAAGAATGAGTTTTTAGCTATATTAATTTGGTCATTAAATTTGCCTTGACAGCTTTCAATGTATAGAAAATAAAAAAATTTAAAAAAAAAAGAATTGTTAGTGGTTTTTAATTACAGTAGGTTAAATGTTTACTAATTAGAGTCAGCAAAAATGGACACAAACCCCCCAATGAAATGGATGAACACAGTAACCCAAACAGTGGCCTCCGCATGTACAGTGATGGTTCAGCTGGCCCAGGACGAAGCAGCATTTCCTTCGGCTGTACACGTGAGTCGACCTGCCAGTAACCACCCCCCTCTCCCCATGCAGTTACAAAGGTGATCCCAGGATCTGAAATGTGTCTGCACCATCTCTTCGCTCTTCTTTGTCAGGTGCCTTTTCCTTTATGCAATGGGCTCTGTCTTGTTTTCCCAAGCC